TGATCAATAGGGATTATTGGTTTTTATTGAGGGCTATCTGCATGCGACAACTTGACCGTTATTTTATTTAATGAAATAATAAAATATACAATAAATTATGATGTGTGAGTATATCATCATTATATATTATGTATTAAAAAATCATCAAGAATATAATGGTTATGTACTTGTTATAATGATTATCAGTGCTAGGATAGTATAGGATTTTGCATTTTTTTTAGGATTTTCAGGATATAGCTTTTCAAGCACAAAATGTGATTTGGTCATCTACGAGTTCAAATATATAGTTTTTATTTTGCATATTTTTTGTACTTTTTTTGAATTTAAGGTCATTTTTTCAATTTCACGGTCATTTTTTCATACTGTATTGAAATCTGGGTCACATTTTTATTAATTTTTAATTTTTTTAAAATTTTAAATGGTCGTTATTGATCGTTATAAATTATTGTACAAACATATAAAGATACAACATTAAAATAAAATCATAAACATATTTTCTAAAAATATTTAATACTTCAAAATACCAATCGTTTATATGTATAATATAAAATATACTCGTTAGATTAACAGAGCAATAATCGATAATAATGTTCGATTACGTGTTATCTTCATAAATTTATTATTAAATTTAACGTGCCAATACCTATTCATTATACGTATGATATTGGCCATTATACCAGAAGAATAAATAATAAACCAGAAGAATAAATAATAAATAATAATTAATATTTATAAGTATATAAATAAAAATTATTATTTATTAATTTATTAATATAATTATATTTTTTTCAATCATTTTTTTAGGTTTTTAGGTCATTAAAATCCTAGCCCTAATGATAATATTACATAATATTATAATTCTTTTTAATATAATGTTTTATAATTTATAGACTATATGTACAATTATTATTATTTACTAAACATTAAAGAACATTAATTATACATTTTTAATTTTATTGTTTTTTAGGTCTATAATATGGATGATTTGAATAAGCGTATACTCGATCTCCGTAAAAATACATGTATATAAATTTTAGATTCATTTCATACAGTTAAACCAATTATTAAATAGGTATAGACTTTTAAATTTTAAAAATATTTTGAGTAATATGATAAATAACATTACACATGTCTATAATATGTATTTTAATGTGAGCTATAATTATTGGTTTATTATTATTTTTTTGACAAAGAAAAAGTTATTAAATAGATGTTCAGAAATATTTATGTGCAAGCATGTACAACAAGTTACAACAACGATATTATAATCCCATCCTATACATGTTTATAGCTTTATAAAAATTTGGATACTCAATTATAAAATAAATAAATCATCGTTTTTTTTTTTTTTTTTTATATATAATTGATAAAGAAAAAATTACAATTTGAATTCGTGTTATACCATATCAATTTTGATAAATATAAAGAACAATAATGACATGAAAGCTTGAGTAGGAAGAAACCCACTATCAATATCTACAATGTTACTTTAGGTGTTTCTAGTAATAAAACTAAAATCGTTTTTAGACTTTCGATAGGTATAGTAACAAGATTGTGAAGTTTTTGATAACTCGATTGAAATTCTGTAACATTCCTAACGTTTATTAATACTTCATTTACAGAAAAGTCGAGGGTTTTTTAGAAATACAAATTTCTTCAATACCTACATAATATAATCACACAAACATTTTGAAAATATGAAAATTTGTTCGATAAAAAAAGAGTATCAAAAGGTCAAATTTAAAAAAATACCTTCACATTTTATACACAAGGTTTATAAGTTTTTTTTAGTTATAACTTATAATTGTTCAAAATAATTAATACTGGGATATCTATTAGTTATTACCCACACATGTTTCTGCCATGATATAATATTATACGTGGTTAACGTAATAGTGTATTTATTGAACTAATAAAGGGTAAGATTTTGTAACACGAAACATAATATGTTCTAAAATTATGTAAAAATACTTGATTATTTAATGTATTTAATAATTTGAAAGAAAATAATAGGTAGTATTTTTTTTTTAATTTAAACAAAACAAGTAAAATGTTTGAACTTTAAAAATTTAAATAATGTACAAAATTTTACTATTATTATTTAATTAAGTCGTTCATTATTTTTTTACACTCCTGCAGTAATCAATCAATTAATTGGTGTAGTAACAAACAATATTGTCGTCAGGGGAGCTAATAAGTTATGTGACCCACATTTATTACAATTTCGTTTAATTAGTTTGTTTGCAATTTTGTTTCATTACTAGGAAATAATACTGGTAAGCTATACTATATGTAATACTTACAATACTTACATCCCATCTTTCTTAAATCGAAAAGTGTAGAATTTACATTAGCACAATTTTATTGTATTGATCTAAGTCCTAATTTTTTTGACCATTGTAATAGAAAAGTAAGCATTTTACTAAATTGTTTTAAAATCTTCATTATGGTTGTTTTTATTTATGATAAATAATATTAATTAAGCCACAATTAAATATTATCTTTGTTACAATTACGTATTACTATAATATTTTATATGTATATTCTACTAAGTAATTATCTAACCAATTGTATGTTATAATGGTACACACGAATAAAAAAAAACCAGCAAATCTGTAATTAATAATTATTACAGGTACATTCTATGATTTATAGCTCAATACTGTCCATATTATTTTTATATTTATTTTTTTAAATTCCAGAGTTGTTTATGTATAACAGTAACAAAACTGAAACTATTAGTTTGAATTCATATCTGAATGCATTTTCTAATACATTTTTTTACTCAAATATCGTTTTGAATCAATTTCTCCCAATATCCTATGCTAAAATCAACTAAATTCACAAATTCGTCAAATATCATATACATCGTTTCTATTATCGGAAAAACCATGTTCCAAAATCGAAGGAGCTATAAATAACGCTAAATTAAATTGTCAAAATAAAAATAGCTATGACTGTATTGCAATAACACCTAAAAAATCTATCAAACAGAAAATAATTGATGAACTGAATCATGGTTTTAAACTTTTGGAACTCAACTCGAAAATCTCCTTTGAATTGACTATTAAAAAAATGAGAGATAACAAGATAATAATATAACTTAATTGTACAATATGTATTGCCGACATATTATGTTTGGTATTCAAAATGTTAAACAGTTTATTTTTGAATACATAATTCAAAAAAAAAAAATTCAAAATTATATGATAGTAATTAAAATGTTTTTTGTGATTAATATCAAAATAATAAGTATGTATAAGAATAGCAAACATAAGAAATAAATAGTTATAATTCGTAATTATAAAAAAGGATTTTATAAAATACTATTTAAGTATAATTTTGTCAGTATTACCTATCATTTAAATATTTGAAGTTTCATAATTATTAAATGTAATTCAGGTGATTTTAAAAATAATTAACTTATTTAGTCGAGTTTTTTTTAATTTTTATTCATATTGCCTAATGGTAACCTGTTAAATATATTAGTTTGTGTAGTATTAACAAATTAATTCAAGACATTTTTTCATTAACCTGTTTTTAATAATATGTATAACTTATCTATATGTATAACTTTTTATAAATTCAAATCACCAAATAAATAATTTTTTTTTTAATAGAATTAAATTTTGTAAGTTATGTATTAACTAATTAACTTAGTTAGTAAGAACTTGATAAAGTACCATACACTCTTACTACATGATGACTATCTCTATAATTAGTAAATAATTTTGTAACTAATCAGTAGATATCTTATAAAAATAACTGTACACAATTTCAATTCATTCAAACTATGGCTGATCTTTTCCGATTAGTACCCTTCTATGTGTTCGTGATCGTTCCATTCCTTGAGTTCACTTTGCCTATTTTTGGGCGCATGTAAACTCCACCGATTGCGACCTTTTTAGACCTTTTTTCATGTAAACTCCACCGGTACGTTTTTTTTACCTGAAAAAAAAATGTAAACTCCACTGGTACGTTTTTTTTTTAAATTGTAATCCAAATCCAATCTGATTAATTAAGATTACATAATTTATGTGGGTGCAGATTTATTATATTTTTTTAAATATATAATTATTAATAATAATTAACAATAATTAAAAAAAAAAAAAAATCATAAAAATCAAATATCAATAATAGAAAATTGAAAAATATATAATTATTAATAATAATAAACAATAATTTAAAAAAAAAAATCATAAAAATCAAATATCAATAATAGAAAATTGAAAAATATATAATTATTAATAATAATTAACAATAATTTTAAAAAAAAAAATCATAAAAATCTAATAAAAATTTATTATTTATATATATTATATTTAGATACTTATATCTTTTTTTACACAATATTAAAATAAATGATATAATAATAATTAATAGTGATCACTAGTTCGATGTTAAAATAATGTTAATTAAAATAAATGAATAAAAAATAATTAATCAAAGAAAATTTAGGTTTTAAAAAAATTTGTTTGGTTTTAAAATTTGGTTTGATAATGTTTAAATGCAGCTTTGACGAATTGTATAATGGTAATATTGTTTGCCTTAAATGACGAAAAAATACGTATCGGTGGAATTTACATTTTTTTTTCAGGTAAAAAAAATGTATCGGTGGAATTTACATGTTATAAATCCAACCCTAAAATCAACTACCTGTAAATCGGTGGAGTTTACAATCGCCCCTATTTTTATAAAGATATTTCCGGTTATGTTACCTACTAGATACATTTTTTTTTTTTTTTTAGATTCCCTAATTTCTTCCGTATTTATAGTTTTTGTTACTTCTTGTAGATCATTTATATGCTAAAACCAACCACAACACTTAATTAATTGATCAAATAAGTAGGTAGTATATTTCTTTAGCTAATATCCACAACTTTACTATTTTACTCAATTTTTGATAACAATTAAATTCAGTCTTCAATTTAGTGATAACTGATTTTTCTACAATAAGTTTATTTTGTTCTAAACACAAATTCTCTACAGCACATTCTAATGCTTTTAAATCAGTTGATATTATACTTTTTATAAATAATTATTATAATGAATATAATAATTTAAACATGAAAAAACATATCTAAACCAACTAAGCTTACTCTAATTCCAATTATATCTGTTAAAACAGGAGCCTTATCAACTGCATTACAGGTATTAACTGAAGCTTTTTTGTCGACATCATTTAACTGTATTTTCTTTTTTTCATGAATATTTCTAATTCTTGTTTTGCCTTACATTCCTCTACTTCGGTTGCTCACAATTTCGCAAATTCAAAGAAAAAGCAAAATCTAAAATATTTCATAAAAATGTAAATGAATACGAATCATTTAACTAAATCCATGAGAATAATAAATTAAATAATAATTAATAATAAAACATATTATTAAATATTTATTAAAAACAATTATGACTTTATGTTTATACAATATTATTAATAACAAGCAGTTTCTGCTTAGGTACATGTTAAATTAACCTAGCTTATCTTATAATATAACTGACTAAATTATATAAATATGATGGGCTGTTTTTGTAGTCCTTAACGACATACTTTGAGTTGGTTTTGAGATTGGAGAGCTGAAAACTTTCGGTTTCAAAAAAATGTTATATGTAAAATTATAATGATTATATTAAAATACGAACATTAAATTTTTTTAAATTAAAATTTTAATATTTTAATAATAATTTGGTAAATTTTGTTACCAAAAAAAAAAAATAAAACCTTTTTCACCCAGAATAATTTTACATTTTAACAGTGATTACCTACTCTTCGAAATCAAGTTAAACAAATTCTTTATAATGGTATATTTAATAATGATAGACATTTACTGTACAACAGAGCGATTACTTATTCAAAGACTTTTTTTTCTATTATTTTGACGGTTGGCTGAACTAAATATTTTTAGAATATTAAACAGTTTTATAACAAAATAAGTTTAATATCTTCTACATACAATAACAAGCAGTTTATAAAATTAATTAATAAATACAAACAGTTATACACATTCAATTCGTTAAATATAAACGATTAAATTGTGTAACATAAAATTTGAAACCAAAAAATTGACGTTTCTAGTACCTACTATAAATTAATGTAACATCTATAATAATAATATTATTTCAGAATTATTAAAAAAATTTTATTTATATACTAATAATAGTATTACTAGAATCTATCAAATCTAAAATTAGGTAATTTATCTCTTAACTAAAGAAAAAAATTGCTAGAATTTAATAATATATTGTATAAAAAAACCACTGCAATTAAAATGAATAATTATAGGATTTTCCAATTCTTAATATTAAACATGCTTTTTGTTTTAACATACAAAATCAGAGAAAAATTCGATGAAAGCTTTAAGCCGATGTAAATATTATAATACCGTTAAGATATAGGTTTACATAAAAATACGTATATTCGGAATTAAAAAAATCAAGTCGCGATTGCAAATCATAAAAAACAATTATTGTAGTTGTTTTCATAAGTATTTGGTTTTAAGATTTTTTGATCTTTTCAAAATATTTATGTATTATATTTCTTTCAATTATTATAGTAGTAATAGTAACTTACATCGACAACCATATAAATAATAATAAAAATATATATTTGATTTCTGTGAGCTACTGAATAGTAAACCTATTAGGACTGAAATAAGAAACTATGAACACCCTGAAAGTTTCGAGAAATATATTGATATAACTTTTATTGAAAATGGTTAATTCGTTCAGAAATAGCACGATAAAGTCAAACCCATAGAAGAAGAATATTATATATATACGTAAATAAAGATAAACTATATTTAAAATATTTAAATTTAAAATTGTATTGCCCATCCATTTTCATTTTCGTGAAAACACGGGACAATGATGCCATACTACAAAATTACACACCATAATTTACTAAATCAATATTGACTTTAAAAGGTCTATGGAAAATGCACCATTTATTAGCAAATATGCCAAATGTCCGTTCAGCATAAAATTTAACCTTACCCTACAATGCCTATAACTATATGTTTTTTTCATAAGGCTTAAATTCTTTCTTTGTATTAGCATATGGGCGCATTATACTTGTACTTATAGCAAACGCTTTGTCGAAAACAAAAACGAACGGCAAACAAGCGATACAATTTGACGAAATAGGTGATAGATTGGAAATGTTTAGACAATTCTCCTGTATTTTTTTATGAAAATCAGAATTTTGAAAAGTTGCTAAGTCTTCAAATTTTCCATACGCTTCGACGTCTATTAGCACAAATTTACAGTTACTGTCACAAATTGTCATCAAAACTAGAGAGAAAAATCTTTTATAATTGTAGCGTGTTGATCCATTATATTTACCAGTACGATAATTTCAATATGTTTACCATTGCATGCTACTATACATTTAAGAAAATTCGCTCTTTTAAAAAATCAGTTGTCATTTGATACCATATTTCTTTTTTTGATTCAAGTAGATATATTTCTTTTAAACAAAACTATATTACAGCACATTCTTATCTGACAATTTCTACAACCAATACCAAATCCAATCTGAAATACTTAATAATGTAGTTCTGCAAATGAACATCCTATTGCCAAATATCTAAAACAATTTATTTTGTCAGGCGTAAATCTTCAGAAAAAATAGCAAAATATACATGATTGTTTTGTAAAAGCCCACAAAGCAAAGTAGACCAAAAGCTGTTTTGCGGCGAAAAAAAAATGTCCTTACGTTTATTCTACAATAGCCTTTTATTTTTAAAAGATATAGTATCGGTTAATTCAACAACTTCGAGTATAATTTTAAATGCAGAAAAAAATAATGAAAATGAAATCGTAGAAGATTGACATACAGCTGCAGCTCGTTTTTCCGATCTCTCGTAGACACCAAAACGTAACAAAAAAAAATAAAAATGATGATATTTGTAGGAAGTTAATAGTGGTTTTAAATAAAAATGTTGAAAACAACAATGATTGTCTTTTTTCCATGTCTCTGGTAAAATATTTAAAAAAAAATACCAGAACACTTGCGCATGCAAACGAAGTTGAACATTTTAAAGGTCATTCAAAACGCTCAGATATCAAATTATCCAAATACAGAAACTGGAATACTCAGAATAATCCATATCGTGGACATAATTCAGCACAGATAAGACACCATTCTTATAACTATACTCCTATGCAAATATCTATACTGGCAACTAACCCATGAGGTACTTTTTTTAAATGTGCGCGTTTATGAGGACCGCCAGCTCTAACAATTTTTTTATATAATTACCTAACCGAATTCAAATGCGTGTTGCTCGATCACCAGTGGTCGAGGTCGTCGGGCAAAAACTGATGTGCTATTAGTATGCGTGTGTGTATAACGTAAAGCCCATAAAAGTAGGTAACTAAAATGATGTATTTTAATACAAGGTCCTTGGTGATTGTGCACTGTAATAACGGTCCTTCTGACTCAATAAGGAGTAATACAAGTTTATTCTAATGAAATAGGATAGTTTAAAAATATTAAAGTGAATGTAAATTGATTATTAAGAAAATGAATATGCAAAATTTATTTATACATTTCTTTATTTATCTACAGCAGAAAAGATTAAATTACCTTATTAATACATAACAATAATACAATGATACAATGTGTTATTACTTATTCAATTGTCAAACAATGTTGCTTATGTTTAACACTGTACATAAAATTCATAATTTTACTACAAGTTTGTATACCACATCGATAACTATCAACTGCTGTTGATTTTTTACCAATATGGTCTTTGCAGAATTTTAATGCACAAGGGTACCAAGGAATGCTTACTTTCATTGTACATAAACAGTGTGACCAGACTTTTCCTGTATCTCGACATAATTTTAAATTAATGTTTGGCGCTTTATAATTAATATATTCAACAGCTTGTAACAAATTTCCCAAATACATGCCTAAATAAAAAAAAAAAAAGGATAATAATTAATAAAATAATGTATATTTAAGAATTTCAGAATGGGAGTTGACTAGGAAAGATAGTTTTATATTTTTCATGAGTGTGTATGTTTAGCAGAATGCCTAAATATAATTAAATATATTTACTAAATGTTAAACTTTTATTTATGTATTTCAAAAATATATTATTAATCATGAACCATCATAAAATAATTTTTAACATTTAAAATGTAGCTAATTTAACCTTAATACTGTAAATATAAGTTATTTATTGAAAAACATGTTCCTTATTGTAGCATAATCACTGATTGATTTAAATAAAGTATGTTTAATAATATTTTAAGTTTAACTCTGCATTTCATGCAAAAATCTTAACGAATTTAGTATAATCACTAACACGGTTGTGTAAGACATTCTTTTTCCTTTTAAAGTTTATTATAATACGTAGTATAATTTTTAACAATATTGCTTAGTGTACAAAAGATTATTTGAATTTTTCTAATATTAAAAAAAATATGTTTATTCATACATATTATAAATATATAATAAATTAATATTATTTGTTTAAAATAAAGAAAGTCAGATGTATACAAGTATAATCTATACTGTATAACTTTAGTTACCTGGTACAGTAGCCCATTTATCTATGTCAACTTTGCTAGTAAATGTTGTATCTAGTGCTTCAGAACATAATGATCCAACATGTTGTGAAATATAAATGCTATTTTTTAATTTAATTCTCATATCTATTGTAACATTAAATACACCTTTATTATCTTCTGCAACTCGAATTGTACCAGGATTTTTCTAAAAAGATAGTTATATTTGTAATATATACATACATAGAAATTAACACAATTATTTATTTATAAGAATACTTGTCTGAGTTTTGACATTGCATCTGGGGAAATAAATTCATTTGCTTGAACATGATTCACAAAACAAAGTATTTGATATGGTTTTTGACCACGTTCTTCTTCTCCGAGCAACAACACTTGTACTATTTGGACTTCCTAACAGAGATTAATGAATTATTAATAAATGTACCTATTGCTCATTATTCATTATTAAGGTACAACAATCATAAAAAATTATAAATACCTTTATGAAATCAATATGTTGTGTAATTAATGTAGAGTCAGGAAGTTGTAATTCTACTGTAATTGTATCATCTGTTATATTTGCATATATTATTTCTTTTATAACACCACCATCCTAGAATTAAAGTAATTTATAAGTTAGAAATATAAGTACATATTTTAATTTCATAAATTATGAGAAAATAATCAAAATAAAAAAAAATATTTTTTTAAAGGAATGCCTTAAATTTTATAATTGTTATAATTTTATAAAGTGTACAAGTATATCAACGTATGCATTATTGATTACAGAGTAGTTCTTCAATTTATATTACTAGAAAGAATATAACTTAAATCAAAGGCAAATACACGACTTCACTTACTCAGACCACTTCTAAAATCTAAAATTTAACTTAAATTTAAAACCCTTATAAATAAAGCCATAACTAGATCAATTTGGTCATATGATATACAGATCGGGGGGTCCTGCAAAGTTATTTAATATAAGTCCTATCTAAGTATTCTAATCTATTACCCTTAGAATGATAACCAGAGCTCCATGGTTTATTACCAATGAATCATTTCATAAAGACCATAAAATACCCACTGTCAATGAACTTGTTAAAAGCCAGTACAAATGTTTCCACGTTAAATTATTAAGCTACCCAAATCCACTCATCAGCAATATGTCCTCCTTATCTTTCTATGGCAATGTTAAACATTGTCTAAAACAAAATTAGTCCAGAGATTTGCTTTATTAAAAAAAAAAAAAATTCTGAGGCGTTGTTAATAAACAACTCCCTCTACAAATTATTCATGAGCTTATTATGATAAAAACTTTTTGTTAACTTATTGTTTTAAATAACAAATTGTAAATAGAATTTAATAAAAAAAAAAAACTTAAATCAAAATACTAATTTCAATTTGTATTTTATGTTTCTGAAAAAAATAATATATTATATTATTTTTACTTAAAAATTAAAATTTATAATTATTTATTTTTTAAAAATTACCTGATCTTTTACGTTAACAACTAAACAATAAAATTGACAACTATGATGTAAGATAATGTAAAAGATGTAAAAATATATTTTTACAATATTGTTCATTTTAACATTAACTATCATATAATCATTTTATATTCATAATTTATAGAGCCAATTAAAAATCTAATGATTAGTTCTAACATAATACAATGAATATATTTCATATATCGAATAATAGTAATTGAACATTTCGATTTTTGACAAAAAATTTATCATAATGTATTTCAAATTCTAATTTATAGGAAATCTGTAAAAAATAAAGAATAAAATTTTGTTTATCAATAATGTGGTAGTATGTGATAATTTATTTATATTGATAACAGACACTGAAAATGTAAAAACCGTGGTATACAATAATATATTAAACGGTTACTTTGGTCTGGTATCATCAAACATGATAGCGCATGCGTTTGAACTCACTCCTACCCTCCACTCATTCATTAGGGATAACCGCTCGAACCTCGAACTTTCATCCTTTTCCGTAATTCCATCAACCCCCGAAGCTCTGAACCCCAATTCATTCAATTTGTGTGATACATGTGCGCAGGTTCAATGATAATGAATGAAAGTTCTCAATGTAAGTATGATGATTTTTTTCATGAACGGAATTCATGATTGGCGCGATGCACTCTCAACTCGTTTCCTTGATAAAGAATCTTGTTATTCTTTTTGAGTGACCATTATCCATTACAACGGGTATGAGCGATGTTAAGTTCTCAACGATGATCACCATAAAATCTAAAAGTAAACCAGACTCGGATAAGGTGGCTGTCAATGGTTCCATTGATAAACGACAAGAATCCAATTCAATTAAGTTGGAAAACGATGTAGCTACTGTTGATCATTATACGAAGAATGGCACATTTAACAAAGATGATTATCGTAACAAAACTACAGGATCATATTACAGAAGCAATAGAGTTTTAATGAAGAACAGATCTTACAGTGTTGATCAAGGATTTACTTCACGTAAATATAATGATGACATTCCTAAAAGACGAGATGAATCATTTGACTCCAGATCCATGTACTATTCCAGTTATCGTAATGGTAAGAAATTGAAATACTTATTCAACTTATTTATTTAATTTATTTTAATATTGATAAATAATGGATTATTACTTTAGGTACAATAACAATTCAGATCATATTAGATAACCTTAAATTGTATACTAATGTAGGTAATAATAAAATTTTAAATTATCACTTCATAATATTAAACCTTTTAAATATTATACCTTTCAATATATTTTATTTATCTAGCTACCAGAAATAGTCTATATTTGTTTATTACAATACTGGTAGTTAAAATAATTAAGTTGTTGATTGTTGATATACCTAAATAAATTAATATATTTTCATGTTTCATTTAAATTAAATTAAATAAGCTACTTAAGTAGCTTTCATTTCAATTTCATCTACCTATGTAAGATTTTAATATTAGCTTAAATAAACTAGGTTTATATTGAATAGATACTTATGATAAAATTATAATAACATTTAAAAAAATGTGTTTTATTAATTTGTTCCATCAACTAATATATTTTATTTGTTTTTGTCACCTAATTATGATGTAGATACATATATTATTAACATTTAATCACTATATCATAACTTTTTGTTATTTTATACTAACAATTAAATATTAATGTGATAATAATTTTACAGAAACTATAGGTAGATATTATGAAGCAACTTTTAAAATTTTCAATGTTTAATTACCAACGTATTGTTTTTATATTTTTAATAGAGTTATTATTTGTAATTCAAATATTTTTTTTTTATTATTATTATCATTAATATTTTATTATATATTTTCCGAAATATTCAAAACTAACATAATATCATCAGTGATTTATTGAGAACACTCCTCATAGGTACCCCAAATTCAAGGCTTTTATTATAACATTAAAAAAAAGGGCTTGAAAAATTCATTTCAAGTAAAATATACAATGTTATTGTTGGTTTAAATAAATTTATAAAAGTGTAGTAAAACAAATTATCATTATTATTTTTATTAGCTACTTGCTCGGCTACTTGTATTACAATTTAATAATTTAATTTCTATGTTTAAAGAGTATTTTAACTTCTTCTGGAACTACCAATTTTAATGTTATGCCACTATATATTATTTTTTTTTTTAAAAATGAAAATTTAATATTAAGAGTGTTTCACAATGAACTGACGTTCTATTGAGTATTTTCAAGTTTTTTTTTTTAATAGTTAATTCTCATCTAGGCTACATTAAAAATATTTTTAGATTTTTCTTTTTTAACATTTTGTATGCAAAATTAAACGATTTTCTGTTTGATATTTAAAATAATCAAGTTAGTAATTTTGTAAATTCGATTTTTTGAAAAATGTTGGTATCAAAAACTTTTACTAAGGTTGAGTCAATAATTTTTAAACAATTTTTAAAGTTTGCTTAAATTTAAATTTATTTCTTGTTTATCAGTGTTACAGCGATTATCAATTATTCAGAAAATCTATTTGAAATATTATAAAATTATACAAACTTTAAAAAATTGCAGAAAATAAACAGCTGAACATTTTTCATTCTTTTTTTATTGCAAACATGTTTTAAAAATCATATTAGCAAAATGGCCATTTTGATTTTTTTTTAAATATAAAATAGAATATTTTTAATTTCTTAATTTTACATACAAAATTAAAAAATTAATTTATGTGTAGTGCAGATGACAATTGATAATTAAAAAAAAAAAAAAAAAATTGAAAATGTTCAATAAAATAAAAGTTATTGCAATTATCAATTCATCGTTAAACACTGGTATTTTAATATTTTGGTTTTACAAAATTTTAAATTTTCACCTTGAAAACTTTAAAATACTTTAAGAAAAACGTTGTAGTATAAATTTTTTAATTTATTTTATTTCTATTGATAGGTATTCAAATTATTCTTTGTGACTATATATTGGTTGTAATATATTATTAACATTTTTTTCTTTATAAATATAAATATCCTATTATTTATCATGTATATTACACAATTCTAGATTCTTTTAGTAATAATGGACCATCTGAGGATTCAAAAATTTCAAAGATTATTAGGAAAATATTAAATGAAGAAGATACTAGAACACTTATAACATTATGCAATCAACTTCAAGTATTTATATTTTAACTATATTAATAACACTTCAATTAATTTATGTTTATTATTATTAATTTAATTTTTGTTTTTTTTTTTTTATAGGAAGTAATTATTCTGCCTGAAAATAAAAAATATATTAGACGCTCTGTTGATAATATAGTTGAACACCTTTATTTATGTTTTCATTCAACTACAATTTCATACAATGGAAAGTGCACTGTTGCTAAATGTTTAGGAAAATTTGGACATGCCTTACAATATGATTGTAAAAGGTATAAAAGTATAATTTCTTTTGAAAATATCAAAATTTTGTAAACTAACTTAATTATATTATTTAAGGTTTATTGATTTGATGTTTAATAAGTATAATTTAGAACGTAGTAAAGAAGTTAAAACATTGATAATGCTGTCTTTTTATGAAGTGAGTTTAAAAAAATTATTTAATAATAAATTTAATTATTATCTAATTCTAATATATGTTTGAAGTTATCAATGGTAGATCAGAAACGATCATACTTGGAAAGTTTGGCATCGGTATGTATTTTATTTCTGTGTTTAATTTTGATTAGTATATAGATACATATTATCAAAACAATTATGCATCCATCATTATTAATTGTTAATACAGTAGAACCTCAATTATCCGAATTAGGTGTGGTTCCAATTAATTCGGATACACAAAATTTTAAGTATTGAAAATAGTTTTAATAAACACATACATATTATGTACATGTGAATGTTTTGATAGATATTTAATATCACACATATGACAAAAAATCATATAAATTGCATTATTGTTTGTATTACATTATTTAGAAATTCAAAAGAACATGTATTTGGCATCAATTTTATGGAATTTTTTCGACAAAATTATTCATTTTCAAATATAAGAATTTCTATTTTTTGTCCCATCTTAAAAATATAAAAGTTGATGTTTAAATACACAAAACTAATAATATAATATTTATAAAGATGTGTACATGGTAGAAAACCAAACATAGATTGACAATAACATTAAGATAAACTCATCATTTCTTGACTAACTACTACACATTTATACACTTATGTTTATGTAAGCACCAATAATAAATTAAAATAATGATAAAATTGATAACTGGCTGATAGTTGAGTGTTTGTATTATGGAGATTTGGATAATCGAAATTCTACTGTATATTAAAAAATTATTTTAATACCAATAACATATTTTAACATTATTTTATGCTTATCAAATAAATTAAATTTATATAAATATATACCTAAATTTGTGTAAATATTTATTTTAATATTTCATAAAAAATGTATGATCTTTAGTAGGTTTAACATCAATTTTAAATTATTATATACTGTAAAATCACTCTGCTTTGTTATAGGCTAACTTTATTGTTAAGTAAATCACTACTGAATGTGTTGAATTTAAATGTAATGATAAATCATCTATTTTCTAATTTTTCAAAGATTATTATTTGTTATTAATTTAAAAGTAATTTCATATTGTAAAGTAGAATAAATAATGTTAATATTATAGATAATTTTAAATTATTAAATTATTTTAAATGTCTTATAACAAATAATATTTTGGTAGTTGATGGTAAAAGTTTCAAGTCTCATCAACTTTTATCTATTGGAATTTTTTGGTTGTATACAATTGAATCTCTTGCACTTTTTAATTTATCTCAATAATGAATAATGACTATTAATTTCATATTATAAATTACATAATTAAAAAGTCAATGGTTGCTGTTCCAGGAATGTCAAAAAATTGTACTGTACTGTTTTTTAATTCTATAATTTAATAATAAAAACTATTCATGAACATACATTTTTAAAATTCACTATTTCTGTTTTTATATAAGTGATTGTTGTGTTATCCGTTTTCTCTTAATTAATTTCTATTTTTGTTATTGTTATAATAATTATTAATTTAGCCAAACCTTTATGTGATTTTATGGTACTACTTACCTCATTTAAATATTTTGCTTCTCAACTAACTTGCATACGTTTTTT